TCGGTCAATGCAACTCGAGTGTCGGCTGACATCAACTGCAATTGCTGCCTTTTTTTTTATATTTGTAATAGTTTTCAATAATGCAAAAAAAAAAAAGATTAACTTCAGAGCTAATTTCAGTATGTGTAGACACACATTACAATCTTTAACTTTCTGTTGTTTGGATGTAACACAATATTCATTTTAACTGTTTAAAATTTGTGTATTCAGCAGTGCAATTGCAAAGTGCTTATAAAAGTGCAAAATTATAAAGTGCTTATAAATTGCAATTAGCGGGGAAATCTCATTTTATTTTGGCACATTTCTGAGCATGCATTTTTTACATTGATAGAGCTATTGATTGAACTGTGTGATGCTTCTGCTAAAAATCTTATTAGTGCATTAATTCAACATTTCCTATTGGTTGAAGCGCAGAAGAACTGCTAGCTAAAATATAACGGTGAGTCTGGGTTAATCGTCTTAATATATGCAGCACATGCACAAGTTTGGGAATAAAATGCCAATGCAATTTCATCCAGTAATTATCTGCGGGTACGGAAAAAATAATGTTTTTAATGATTTTAGAAAGCAGGTTGGCAATGCATTACTAATGTTAGCTATAGGGAACATGTAAGGATGCTGGGTCTCATAAAATAAAACATGTACAGGATTATTAATGAAATGGAATATTGTCAGAAAACGATGAGAGTATTGTAAATTTTAGGACATGATAAAAAAAGTTGAAGAATTAGATGACTTGAAGAATTTGTCCGATTCTGCTATTTTGACCTAATATGAATACATTTATTTTAAAATAACCCCATGAAAGAATCCAAGCAGACATCATTGCAATATATTTAAAAGATCTACAGACCAGAATTTATTACTTAGAAACATATAAAGATGAGCTGTCACACATGAAACTAATATTTTTAAAAGGCTCTTCACGCAAATTAATTTACATTCCATAGGGTCATGACGCTTACCAAATGTGTCATGAGCTTTTTAAATTAGTTGCTAGAATTTGGATCAACTCACAGGTAGACTTGAAGCAGTTTGAATCCATTTATAAATCTATTGATAACATCTAGCCTCGTAATAAACAAATGGATGCCTTGTCAATATTTTTATTAATAAGACTATTCTACTGGACTGAGTGGCAAGGAGAACCCCTACAACCAAAGATGAGTTTACAAATTTCGCAAACCACCATCTAAAAATAAATGAACTTGGCACTAACGAACTTCACCTTGCAAGGCTCATTTGGTGAATCATAGCAAGTTCAACCATGGTGGACTTTTCATCCTACGCTCAATTCTACGTCGTTATCTAAAACCATTTTGTTTGTTGCCATTATTGTGTTTTTTTCATTTTTTTTCTACATTTTTGACTGTTTGATTGGGTCGCTTAAATGGAAAAAAAATTTATAACAGAAAGATCTCCTTTGTATTCTCATTAGATATTCCATAACATTCCGAGAAAGATTTATAGCATTTTCATGACCTTGGCAGGACCTTCGTGCTTAACAAAAAGTAAAGGTCGGAGAATTGTCAAGGACAACATGGGAGCACATGGAAGACTTTTCAGTAATGGATATTGGAAAGAAGCAAAGGATTTTATAGGAATGAAGTGCTTACCAACAAAGGTCGAATAAGATTAGAATACTGAATATCGAACAACGTTTCATATGTCAAGTCCAAGGTTATAGACAAGGTTTGTTTACATTAAAAGTCCATGGGGCTGATGAATTGGAAAGATTGCATATAAGCTATGATCTCACACTCCTTCCATAAATTACATTGAATACAATAAAACATGCTGCTTATTAGTCTTAGTCCATGTTTATGGCGAGATCCATTTTCTCTTAAATATTCTTGATGCAGAAACTGCCTACGGTAAATCAAGCAATTCTACAACACATATTATCCTTTTAAATCACCTACAAGGTATCATACGCAAACTAGCTTTCTATTTGGATAGAGTTTAAAAGCTTCTTGAAAACCAGGACATTAATCTCATCGGTAAAATTATATTATTGAGATAAAACTCTCCCAGGTTTGAGTCTCTATAATCTCTGTTAAAAAATGTTCTGTAGATAAGTGCAACTTCTGACTAATGTAGAACACGATAAGGTTCTAATGTAGAATGGCCGTGCATGCGATAACATTTTTTTAAAAAAAAGTAAAACAGCACAGAATAATTTTTCAGAATGATATTTCACAGTATGCCAAATGCTAAAGATCTTTTATCGTTATGTATTTTTATCAACATAGGTAATATTCGGACAAGAGACAGAGAATCTGCCTCATCAGTTTTTTTAATGCCCTCCTTGTAGATTTAGGAATGTGTCACCTTTAAAAGATTTATATAGAGTGGCAGATGGTATATTTTCTCCCTGTGAACACTGTAAGGAGTTTGAATTATCCACATTGTAGAGATGTTTGAAATTATATAAGGGCTGAATAACGTTGATTTCATTATCGTTAGAGCATACGGTAGGCATCTCTAAATATAAAATATAAAATATATCTTAAAGTCTGCTTAAATCCCTTCCTTTAACCCCTTAAGGACCAAATTTCTGGAATAAAAGGGAATCATGACATGTCACATATGTCATGTGTCCTTAAGGGGTTAAGGGGTTAAACTTTGTAAATGTGTTAAAATTGTAATCACATAGAGATAGATAGACAGACAGACAGACAGAATGATAGACAGACAGGTAAAAAGTCTAGCAGACAGCTAGCAAGAAAGAGGAATGTTCACATACCTGCTGTTGGGTCATAGGACGGGTGCGGGACCGGTCCTGGAGCGATCGGCATTGGGAACAGATAGCCATGGATACAGTGCTTGGGATGTGTTTGGCTTGCTTGAAAACAAAATATTTGGTGAACGTTAGTGACTCAGACCAACAAGCCAGACACTAAAATATATTCTGTGGTCAGACAAAGGCCTCAATTTATTCCAAGCTAACCATATGCTTTTTGGGAAGTATATACTCTAAAGAGATGGAAGCAGATTAACCAGCGATTATAAAGACAAAAACCGCCTAAATTGCTCTAATTTAACAGATTGAGCATGTGACGTTTGAGCAAGATCCACCAATTGTTTTTTGGGCTACTAATAAATAATACACCAAATTCAGTAGCAAAATCCTTTCTAAAATCCTGCTGTGAGTCTCATTTGCCAGATCTAACAGTTAAAACTGTGTCTAACACCCAAAGCTTGCAGTCTTTCTTATATTATGTTTTATCATTGCAAATGAATATAAGTGACAGAGAGATCTATGTTTTTGTTTTTTTTAAGTCAGTAAAACATGCAACTTGGAAAGTATCTCCTAGTCAGTTATGTTCTAACTGAAAGGTGGTTATGCAGTTTATTTATATTGTTTATGTGTAGTAAATCTTTTTTATTGGTGCTAATTGGCTACTCCTTGGCTGAAATTGGAGAAGCAATATCTGACAGTCAAACAGCATCAAGATGGATTTAAAGGTCAGTTCAAGGTGGCTTAAGTTGACATTTTCACGTTAACTTTCTCAAACATTCTTGAACTTATCTGGAACTGAATAGAACAAATACTGGTCAATTTCAAGTGGCCGTCTTGCATCAAATGTTAGAGAACTGATATTTTCCCAGATCCCATGGTCTCAGACAGACTGTGTGTCACTGAGTAAATTATAGATTGTTGCCTTATACTGGATTTATACCTATCATTACAGCCTTAACTGTACCAGGGTCGAGATCTGGATTAAAAAGTTTGTGCAGTTAAAGTAGACTTTTGTAGTTCCAGTAGCAGCACACCTCCCAAAATCTCAACTGGACAAAGAGGGACACTTTAAATGTCGGGGTGTGAAATCTTAGGTGACATACTTATAACAATGTATACAACTAAAATTGAATTTAGAGCAAGAACAAAGTATCATATTTACACAGACTGATTTCTAAACACATTTATTGTAATTTATCTCTGTTATACACTTAGACACACCAGCAACACGGAGCTACTACAAAAGAAATCAAATCCCACTGAACGTAAATTGGGCTCCGGAGAGACTTCCTTTCATCTGACCACTTTGTATTGTTATTATTTTTCCAACGAATGGGATATCGCAAGTGACTTCACTGCACTCGATTTCTCTACGATTATCAAATTGGCTGATAAATCTAAACAATTTCCTGACTGACGTGTCATCACTGGAGGAGAGTTTGAAAGAATGGATTGGCTAATTAGAGTAACAGTCCAAAGTGAGTATATGTATTTTAACCCCTTAAGGACACATGACATGTGTGACATGTCATGATTCCTTTTTATTCCAGAGGTTTGGTCCTTAAGGGGTTAAAGCATTTATCTTGTATTTTAATGTGATACTGTTGTAATGTATTTTTAAAAAAAAGTGATAAATTCCCACTACACTGTTTCTTTAAGGAAATTGGTGACCGTGTTATGGTGCATTATATATTAATGGACAACATTAATATTTAAAAAATATATATTTTAACTAAATCAGGATGATATAGTTATGGGAATATCACATTTAAGATTTATTTGTTAATCAGAGAGTTAACAGCTGACTTAGGCTGACTGACCTACACATTTAGGCACGAATCATCAAACTGAAAATACTGAATATGAATTTTTGTCGCTATTTTACTCAGCAGTCAATGTACCTCAACTCAATGTTTAATGAATGAGTGTAGAATCAGCTATCTGCTGTTAGAGACTGGTATATGTGGTTAATGAACAGTTGGTCTCCTACAGAGAGGAGGCTGGATCTTTTACCCCACAACATTCTAAGTAAATGAGTCACTGCAAATGTGCTTCTGTCTTTTAGTATCACTCAAAGACTGGAGAAATTCTCTAAGCTTCAACACAGAGAAACAGTAGCCTAAGCTGTCATTAAAAGCACATGCCTTGATCTGCCCAGTCCTACACTGCAATCTGATTGGCCAAGTACTAACCTAATCATACGTGATTCATGAGTACACCCATAATAAATGAAATGATTGTGGACTAAGAAAGTTGGATTTTTTTTCACGTGACTAGGAGTAAATTCAGCCCATACAAAAAACACCCATATTAAATAATAAAACATTGGACAATAAAAAGAAGTACACCATAAACCATACAGCGGACATTTGTATGTGTTAGGGAGTTAGCAGGCTGTGAGTGCTGGCCCGTCGTTCTGTGTCAAACTGTATTAAGTGCTTTGACAACAAACAAGGTATCTCGGTCACCTGTTACGTTTCCCATCTGCTTTAGCGATGTTACTTTGGTCCATGTATGGACAGCAGTTTAAGGTTGAATACATCAGCTGATGGGTCTAGCCCAGAGATAGGCAACCTTCGGCACTCCAGATGTTTTAGAATGCTGTAGGAGCAGTATGGAAGATGTAGTCCACAAAATCTGGAGTGCATAAAGGCTGCCTACCCCTGGTTTAGCCTATCATTGCTATCAAAGTATTTTCAAAACTGTTAATGTTGAAAGGGTAGCTTCTACATTAGCAATACAGCAAGCAAGCCACCAGGCCATGGGTGCCTGGGGGAGCTCTGCTTTTTGTCAAACTGTTTGACTCAGAAACATTGTTTTTCCTCCTGTCTCTGTGCTGACTGACGGATGAAAAGGGCAGAGTTTAAAATAATGGCTGACAGCAAGCCAAGATGGAGGCACTAAGGGTGGACACAGTAGTGTGGATTTCTGCATTTAATTATATCTTTCAGACCTTGCAAAAAAACATATTTGTTATCAATTTCTGTCCATTCCTCCTAACCTGCCATGACCAATAGCACAGCTGTATATGTTATCCGAAAGCAGGAAAGAGGATTCTGGTAGTTGTAGTATGGGCATACAGTGCTTTGACGTCTGCTAATCAGCTTTTGCCATTACATTTTAATCCTTATACTGATGTGTCAGTTCAAACTCCAGAGATTGCAATGAGTCTAGACTACTCATTGGCCAAGTTACTTCTTGGATTGGGCAAAGTTCAAGACTGATGTGTAGGACATCCACAGAAATAAAGAACATTAAAATTAGTTTCTTTTTCACTCCTTGTTTTTTAAATTTGTTGTTTTAACTTATTTTAAAATGCATTTATTATAAAATGTACACGTCAATTACAGCCTGGAGTGCTCCTTTAAGGAAACATTTTTTACACTATAAATGCGAAAGCTGAACTATATTTCCCATGATGCTCATATAACCTTTAGACTGTCTCGGCATCATGGGAAATGTAGTTCGGGGACATCTGGGATATTATAACACTTCTTGTTGGCATAGGAATCAGACAACAATGGTTTATATGTGTCTACTTTCTGAAACAGTCATTCTCGGATTAACATTAAAAGTTTCAAAAGAATAAAAGACAGCTGTCCCATACCTTTTATACATTTACTACATTAAACAGTTACACTTACTGAACCAAAAGTTCCAAATGGTCTCCTGAACGTCATCCCCATTAAACCAGCACCGCCAAAAGAAGCCTTCGTGGTGAAAGTACAGGGTGGGTATCCTGGGGTCACTTATATTCTGTTGTGAAAAGAGATGAAAATAAATGAGCCTGTTAACTCCCAAACTGGTCTTTATATAGCTTATAAATAGCAAATCTCTCAGGTTGTCTAATGTTCCTTCCTCTTACAACACAGGATGGGTACACAATTCAGATGGTGTCTGCATGTGCGTAGGGTAAGGTTCTTGGATGCACACAGTGTCCATGCAGTTGTCAATACATGCACTCAAATGTACCTCGCAAGGATACGAGCATAGTGATGTGTTAACAGTGTTTGTATTATTTAATATTCTCAAAAGTATGGAGAAATAACCATTTTATGTATGTTTTGGGTTTGTTTTTTTATACATAACACTAAAGGTTAAATACGACCATTGGGATTTATTCCCTTCACATAATATTAAGCCTACAGATTTGTCGCTATATCAGAGTCCAAAACCAGTTCTTAGCTTTGTCTTATTAACAATTACATGTCCCGCTCAATTTTCGCACATTGGCCGTGTTGGTGCCACCATTTTTACAGAGCTGTTTGGCCCAAATAGAAGATTCAAAGCAATATACTATCTCTCCGGCTGGGTGGATCTGATATACATGGGCTTAGTGTCCTTCCTATTTTATATATCTAGGTAGCAAATTACATGAATGAATATACCATATGTTTTATGTTAATTTCCGTATGTTGTTCAGCACTTGATAATCAGAGAGGTTACATCCCAAATTTTAATCATAAACATTATGACATATTTGATAATACATTTTAAGATTAATCGTGTTACAAATTAATATTACCTATAATAGATTAAATGGATACTCTAAGCACCAAAACAACTTTAGCTTAATTAAGTAGTTTTGGTGAATAGATAATGCCCCTGCAGTCTCCCTGTCATTTAGGAGTTAAATCATTTTTGTTTGACACAGCCTTCACGAAAAAAAAAAAGTTTCCTTTTTAATCTGTACAGTGTGTTTACTTTAGAGCTTTGTTTCTCCTGTTCTGTATATTGAACTTTAATCACACAAAGGAGGCTCCTGTAGGGTCTAGCAAGCTGTTAACAGAGCAGGAGATAAAACATTCTAAATTAAATAGAATGTGCAATAAAGTTTAAACTTAAGAACTCTCTTTACAGGAAATGTGTGTCAAGACTGTGTAGGTCACATGCAGGGAAGGAGTGACTAGGGCTGTATAAACAACATGATTTAATTCATGAGACAGCAGGAACATGATCCATACACAAACATCATTCCATTAATGTAAAGTTTTGGTGCTTATAGTGTCCCTGTAAATACACTATCTGTCTTCCTTCCTATAATTCATAACAACAGAGTGAGCAAATTACAGAATGCAGGCTTGTAAGGTGACTAAAATTCAGAGTAGTTTATCTATGATCGTCATTACACTCAATCCTCAAATACATATAACCAGCTTCTAACTCAGTATATTGACATATATTGCACTATATGTCTGAGCATTCAAGGCTATCATTTGAACCTAAATCAGACACTAAGACCCAAGAGGGTCTGATAAATGTTGCAAGGGAGCTAGAACCAGAGCTAAGACGTATCTCTTCTGCACTGTATACCAAAAAAGTGGGTAGAAATCCCATTACAATGAATGTAACAGTCTTACCTGGTTATGAAATCTAATCCAATTAGATAAAATAATAATAAAAAATGTATCAATAGTGACAATAAAAGACAATATAAACCTGCACTGTTGGTGATGAAAATTAACTTCCTTCAATAGAATATTGACAACAAACTAGTGATAGGCATAGTGATTGTTAGGAGTCAACAGGCTACATTTTACACTTGGTGCAAAAAGTGTTACATATACAATGCAATATTGGCCTACATCAATGACCCCTTTGGTTAGAACCAGTTTTTACTTAGGGACTTCAGGGCCCTGTTGCAGCTTCAACACTGTTTGATTAACCTGTTTGTACAATGTACGTACACTGATCAGCCACAACATTAAAGCCATTGACAGTTGAAGAGAATAACATTGATTATATTGTTACAATGGCACCAGCCCAAGGTGGGAGGGAGGGGAGGTAAATTAGGCAGCAAGTGAACAGTTAGTTCTTGAATATCATGTGTTGAAAGCAGGAAACATGGGTAAGTGGAAATATCTGAGTGACTTTGACAAGGGCCAAACAGTGATGGCTAGACAATTGGGTCAGAGCATCTTCAAAACAGCAAGTCTTGTGGGGTGTTCCCGATATGCAGTGGTTCGTATCTGCCAAAAGTGGTGTAAGGAAGGACAACCAGTGAACTGGCTTCCATGTCATGGGCGCCCACGGCTAACGTCTGTTCTGATTAAACAGAAGAGCTACAGTAGCTTAAATTTCTGAAAAACGCAATGCTGATCATGATAGAAAGATGTCAGAACACACAGCGCATACTAGTTTGCTGCTTATGGGGCTGTGTACCAACAGACTGGTCAGAGTGTCCTTGATGACCCCTGTCCACCACCAAAAGTGCCTTCAATTGGGATGTGAGTGTCAGAACTGGACCATGGAGCAATAGAAGAAGGTTTCCTGATCTGATGAATCATGTTTTTTTTAGATCAAGTGGATGGCTGAGTGCGTGTTCATCATTTACCTAGGGAAGAGATGGCAGCAGGAAACACTATGCAACGAAGGTAGGCCCGCTTAGGCAGTATTATGCTCTGGGCAATTTTCTGCTGGAAAACCTATGGTCCTGGCAATCAAGTGGATGTCACTTCGACCAGTACCACCTACCTAGAGATTGTGGCAGACCACATACACCCCACTTCATGGCAATTGATGTCCCTGAGGCAGTGGCCTCTTTCAGCAGGACAATGCACTCTTCCACACTGCAAATATTGTTATGTAAACAATGGTTTGAGGAACATGTTGAAAAGTTCAAGGTGTTGTCTTGGCCTCCACATTCCCCAGATCTCAATCCAACTGAGGATTTCTGGGATGTGATGGAACAACAAATCTGACCCATGGAGGCCCCACCTCACAACTTGCAGGACTTAAATGATTCTGCTGCTAATGTCTTGGTGCAACATACTACAGGACTTGTTCAGAGGTCTTGTGGGGTCCATGCCTAGATACATCAGAGCTATTTCTCTCAGCACAAGTGTGACCTACATGATATTAGTTGCATCAGGTGTGCTTGAAACCTGTTTTGCATATTTCTGATGTTGTGAGAGATTCTATCCAGGGAGTTGAATAATTTTGAGACTGGAGATGTCACCACATTGTTCACTCAGATTTTGTGCATTATGTTTGTAAACATTATTGTGATTGTATTGTCTTTTAAACATTTAGCAATTTATATTGGTGTATGTATTTTCGACTTTTAGACTTTAGATATACACCCATATATTTAGTACCTTGTTTTCTCCCCCTTCCCTTTCTTTTTACATCTATATGAATAAAAGTTAATTTTTAAATTTATTACATTTAGAGCACTCTAAGTCTTTTCCCTTTTTTTGCTCACTACCTAGGTAGTTTACCATGGGTTAACCCCATTTTTGAGTGCTCTCTGAGCTTCCACGCTTTCTCTCTTTTCTCACCTATGGTCCTGGCATTCATGTGGATGTTACTTTGACACAAACCACCTACCTACAGAACGCTGCAGACCATGTACATCCGTTCATGGTAGTGGTGTTCCCTGATGGCAGCAGGGCCGTCTTTAATATTGATTGGACCCTGGGCAAGCATTTGCGTGGGCCCCATGGACCCTGTTCCCCCCACTCCCTGGGATGCAATCAAGCACCCTACCCATTGCAAGGGTGGCCAAAAGGTAGATCACCCTCTGTCATGCAACTCTAACAATGCTTTGACAGCTGGGGCTCTACCATTTTCCCATGCATGCAGGGTTGTATTTAGCACTGAGTAGTGTTTGTGTGTTTAAATGTAAGCATGTTTGTGTATGGAGTATGTCTGTGTGAGTGTAAGGGTGTGTTTGTATGAGGAGATGGCATTTGAATGCAAGCATGCATTTATGCTTGGTGTTGGTTTTTGAATGCAGGGGTGTGCTTATATATAATGTTGCTGTTTAACAAAGAGGTGTGTTTGTATTTACTGTTGAAGTTTGAATTCTGGAATTAATTTGTGTGTAGTGTTGTCATTTGAATGTTGAGATTTATGCACATATACACATGTACTGCCAAACACACAAACACACACTGTGATACACATGCATACACACACTGAAACACATGCAGATACACAGATATACACACTGACACACATACACAACCTGACACACATGCAGATACACTGACAACACAGATAAACACACTGACACACATACAGATACACTGACACTACAGATACACACACTTACATACAGACACACAGATACATACGCACAAAACTTTACACTCTTAAATCCAGTTTCCTGTCTTTGCAGGTACCTTTCCTGGGGTCCAGTGTGCTGGTTGGGGTGCTTGGGAGTTGGGGTCTGGCTCTCCTTGCTGAGTCCCCCCTCGACACTCATCGTCTCTGTGGGAGGAAGTGACTCATGGCCATCACTTCCTTGCATGCTGCTGCTGTTTAAGGGGCCACAGCACCTGACAGGGCCCCTGCTGAGACATGCTCACGGGTATGGGCCACCCGGTGGGCACCCTTAGTGTGTGGGCCCTGGTGCAGCTGCAATAACAGCACCTTGGGCCAATGGAGGGAATTTTTTTTTTACTGGATATGGGCAGTGGTTCCATGGGGAAGCTGCACTGGGCCCCCCTGAGCTCAGTGCAACTGAGCCCAGGGCAGCTGCCCCATTTGCCCCACGTTAAAGATGGCCCTGGATGGCAGTGGCCTCTTTCAGCAGGATTATGCGCCTTGTCACACTGCAAAAACTGCTCAGGAATGGTTTGAGAAACATGACGAAGAGTTCAAAGTGTTGCCTGGCCTCAAAATTCCCCAGATTTCAATCCATTTGATTTGTGGGATGTGCTGGAACAAAATATCTGATCCATGGAGGCCCTATCTTGCATCTTACAGGACTTTAAAAATCTGATGCTAATGTCTTGTGATGCCAGATACCACAAGACATGGACAGATATCTTGTGGAGTCCAAGCCTCAACGCATTTAGAGCTTATATTGGCAGCATGGGTAGGACCTACACAATATATATATACATATATATATATATATATATATATATTTATATTTATATATTTAATGTTGTGTCTGAGTAGTGTATATTAAAAGTGTATATTAAAAAACCTTCATGGCTCTAACTAGTCCTACCCGGTTGGTCTTTAAAACATGTTATAATTAATACATGTTATAATTATTTAAAATTTTACAACTAGTCTTTAATCAATGAACTAAACTTGATTTTGTATGGAATTAACTTGGGGATTGAATATTTGTAGGCCAAAATAGCATAGCTGAAATTCTCTAAAATCCCCAGTTTGGAGACATTATCTAACTCAGCTAATTTTCCACCTCATTCTCATGACCCGAAGAGGGCAGACATACAAATATATTTCATAATGTGACCAGGTAAATAAAAACAGCTCCAAAACACTAATGTAGAAAGACTGCTATGGAGTTATGTTACCTCTTTAAAATATTGTGTTTAATTATTTGTAGGTCTGGACACACTTACACAAACAGATAAGTTTAAACACGAAACTTGTGGAAAACTGGCAAGGGAATTGGAGATTTCAGGCCAATCTACCCACACTTAAATTATTCTCCAAATTTTCACTATTTTGGTCTAAAATGTTCCATTCCTGTTATTCCAAGTTTAGTGAATAAATATCCCCCTTCCCCGTAGCATTCCTTGATCATTACCTCTGCTGGAGAAATGCTTTCATCGATGACCCCACAGTTTTCTGTTGCCAGGAGCCAGTAATCTGTCCCAAATGCAGTAAAAAACAGTAGGATCCCAACTCCACCGATGAGACCAGCTACCAAAGCCACTATTCCAACTTTCATCCTGAAAGGTTCAGTGCAAATGAAAGCACACTCACAAACTTACAATGACAGGGCTTGGGCTGGGGAAAGAGGGGTGCTATTTTAGGACACAGCTTTGGCTTTTTTAATGACTGGTGTAAGTTTCGTAGAGGAGTGGCAGGGGGACTATTAAAAGCAGATGACCTTATTCAAAGGAACAGTTGTGGCTGAAAGAACATTGCAGCTTGACACGAGAATAAACAGTAAACATGAAGATTATTCTGGTTTGTATGGAGAGTGTGTGCTGTTTTTCGCAGATGGGTTCACAAAAACAAAAATAACAAAAACAAGTGTTTTTGCAAGAAGACACCTTTGTTTGTATTTTATTAACATGTTTTTGTCATCTTTGAAGAGTTGAGAATTATGTGTTTATTAATTTGCTCTCTCTCTCTATATATGGTTGTAATTTATTTTTTTATTTTTTTATATACAATGTGTTTTACCAGGAAGAGTACAACTGAGATTTCTTTCATTTTTCTGTCTGTTCTGGACTCTGGTTCACTCAGATAGTACAATCTTGTTACAAGGTTACATATTTCATATACATACAACATAAATAACCATTAGCAGTTGTTACAGGTTTCATTAGATTGGACAGAGAGCTTAATTAGATATTCCTGGCTTGCAGAGAGTGTCGCCTGCCCCTCTTGATGTTAGAGGACTTTTGGTATACCCACACACTCCTATGTATGCACACAAAAAAGTGAGATCCTCATGCACACACACATATATTTCATTATGTGCACACACAGAGACAAGTGCGCACACACATGTTATACACACAGATGATTTTACCCAAACACATGCTTGCACACACACAGGTGCTCATGAATACACCCAGGCTCAGACACTCTGATACGTTCAAATACACAAACTCACAAACACATGCACACTCACATACACACATAGGCATGTATTTTTGGAAATTGTACTCTTCCTCTTTTTGCTTAGTTTTTTCATTGAGTAAGAGAGGGCAAATCAGGGATCTATTTTCCTGCCCCTTCCCTCCCCCCCTCAGCACACACTGCCAGTCTCAATGTTACCATATAAGTAACACCCACTGCCAGTCTCAATGTTACTATATAGGTAACACCCAGTGCCAGCACCCACTGCCAGTCTCAATGTTACTATATAGGTAACACCCAGTGCCAGCACCCACTGCCAGTCTCAATGTTACTATATAGGTAACACCCAGTGCCAGCACCCACTGCCAGTCTTAATGTTACTATATAGGTAACGCCCAGTGCCAGCACCACTGCCAGTCTCAATGTTACTATATAGGTAACACCCAGTGCCAGCACCCACTGCCAGTCTTAATGTTACTATATAGGTAACACCCAGTGCCAGCACCCACTGCCAGTCTCAATGTTACTATATAGGTAACGCCCAGTGCCAGCACCCACTGCCAGTCTCAATGTTACTTTATAGGGATGGCAAAGTTAAGGGCAGTAATTCCAGTGCTCAGCCAACGCTACAATCTACAAGTGCTAAGCAGCCAGTGGTCAATGTTCTGACCAGCAAGCAGAAGTTGTAAGTGTAAGAGACACTTCTCGGCACTTACATCCTCAGGGTCTTTCCCTACCTAAAGTGTATCCTGGTTTCTCTGACGGGTTTTCAACCATTGTTAAAGTCTGTAAATGATTGCTGCATAACCTGTTTCATTTTTGCTACAGGTTTGATTTCTTCCTGCCTCTTGTTTTCCAGTGTTGACAGCTAGAAACTCCTACTTTTTAATTTTGGGTTATTATTTAATATTTAATGTGAGAAAACTAGCAGGGATTTCGAGGTTTTCTCTGGTTATTCGTTTATTTTCCCTTCATTCATCTATTTGAAGCATTATTGGTTCGGTAGATTAAAACTACCGAACACCGACCACCCTCCTGGCTCATTAACTTCAAAGGGGAACCGTCAATTGAGCACTCTCTCGGGATCGCCATCTTGTTTGCACGAAAGGAGGCAGCGTGACTTGGTGGCCGAGTGTCTAAAACTAAAATCGGACACTCGACTTCCCAAACACCGCTGAAAGTATACGAACGCCTGCTTCTTTTTGTTGCCGAACAGCTAGGAGAGCGCCGTTCGGTAGTTTGGTTCCGCTGAACAAGGGGAACAATCACCCCTATGAGCCAGGAGGCTCCGTTCGTGGATTATTTTGTTTATTTAACATTTTCGAAATTGACCGACCACATACACTGAATTCGTGGAACTATTTTGGGCAGGAGCCTCGTGTGCGGTCGGTGAACTAAGACTTCCACACTTTTTAAAAACCCCTGAACTGATCTGGGTGAAATTTGAATATGTTGGTCTCCCAGATCGGGGCTATCAGGGGATATGTAATTTTTGGGGATACCTTAGAGTTAAAGGGGTGTTCTGAGTTTTGGGTAAAATGTGTTCCCTTTTCCTGGAGATAGTTGGGTTATCCCTTAGCTTATCTCATTATCTCCCAGGCAGAGAGAGGAAGTGTTTTATTGTAACTGTACAACGTGATTTTGCTTGAGTACTGTGGGAGGTCCTCTTGCAGGGGGACCTCCATAAAAGCCCATGTGGTCTCAATAAACACCATTCTTGTTACACCCTTCATCATGTTTCGGCTGGTGTTTGGGTACCTGATTGATATTTGGGAGAGCTGCACTAGAGGATTTTGTGTCTTTGGGATTTAACTAACGAATAAAGAACCGAACTGTGAGCTATACTCACTCTGACTCTCGGCCGTTCCACTCAAATCATACGAACCACTAGCTACCCCTTCAGGGTTTGTTACATTTAATATTGTGGTATAGAAAAGGAAATAGATGCATGAATACATTAAAGTACATTAATATCAGGATAAGTTACCCAGCACAGGACAGAATGGCTGGGCTTAACTTACAAAGTACAGATAATAAACGATGTCAAGATACGAACCAAAGGCTGGTGCCAATCATTGATTATGGGAATGTAGTATTTGCATCTGCTTCGCAATCCCACATTAATAAACTCAATACATTGTATAACTCATTCTGCCGATTTGTGTTACAATGTAATTACAGGACCCACCATTGTGACATGCTAGAAGAACTAAACTGGCTGTCGCTGGAATCCAGACGCACCCTTCATCTTTCCAGCCTTGTGTTTAAGAGCTTTTCTGGGAAACTCCCACCCTACCTGAGCGAAATGCTCTCCTCGGCTGTTCCCACCTCCTATAACCTCCGATCCAGTACCAACACTTTATTTAGTCTAGCTCAATACAAGAAGAAAGCAGCCCGATCCTCCTTGTCCTACAGAGCACCGCAATTGTGGAACGACCTCCCGCACACTTTAAAATCTTACCTAAGCCTAAAGTCCTTTAAGAGATCCCTCTCTACATACCTCAAAACAGAATGCACGTGTTACGGTTGATTATATATTTCCTACCTGTTTTATGTTAAATTTTGTATATATTGTGTATTAATATTGTTTTTGTATTTTATTGTACCCTAATGTAACAATGCAATGATTTGTGGACCCATGACATACTTGCAAACGAGAGAAATCTCAATGTATCTTTCCTGGTAAAATATTTTATAAATAAATAAATATCATGGATTATAGAAAACCATGACAGCGCAAGGATTGGATCAAGACAATAAGTTTGTATATGCACAGAAACCCACCAGATGGCCAACTTCATAACTGTGCTGTTGAATGTACGCACATGACGTTGCAACAATGACATAATCATGCTAGAAGCATTTGATGCGCAGACGTCATGAAAGGAGGTGGGACCACAGCGTTCTGTGTCCATGTCAAAATTAGAAGACACAGAAAATGCCCAGGAGACCATGGGCACATCAAGACAGTGTCCATTTGGCAGAACGACCACGGCATTTATGATAATTTTACAATAATACTGCATACAAAAAAAAGAAAAGAATTAAAACAATGAAAATATGTTTTTTAAGTTAATAGAAATGTTGTTATTCAAAATGGCATCCCTTCATATTAACCTTTATAGTGTCTTTGTAACATTTGTCTAGAAACAGCTTAGAATATCATAGGATGTAGTTAAACTATCTTATTATCACACCTTGCAGAGGCCCATGGGGATATAAATAAAAACCTCTGTGGGCAATATTTAAAAAATAAAGCAAGCACTGTGGAAACAATGGAATGCCCTGCTGATTGCGCCCAGGGCTGGCCCATCCACTGGCCCCTGTGGGGCCCCGGCTCCAGGCGGCACTTTTACAGGGGCGACATTTTGCCACTGTTGTGTGGCCTGGGCTGCCTATGTATATATATATATATATATATATATATATATATATAGCGATATATATATAGCGATATATTTATTTAGCGATATGTATGCCCCCGCTATCTTGTCCTGTGGAGAAGGGGTCCAAGGTCTGATCTTCTCCTCCTGCAGCGTCATATCTGCTCATTTCATAACACCGCGAGAGTGTTGCCGTGGATTACCATGGCAACGCTCAGGCGTGCATTACGTGCCCTGCAGAGCATTGCCATAGCAACCCGCGGCTCGCCAGAGAGAAGAAGACATGAAGCTGCAGGAGGAAGATTAGATCACTGGGCCCCCTCTCCACAGGACACAGCAAAATGTGCCACTGGACCACCATGGAAACTAGTGTCCCCCTCTCTGACCGCAGGTAAGAGTCAAGGAGGGGGAAATACACTAAATCATACTTTATTTTAAAAACTGATCACCCCTCACAGCCTCACTACACACACTACATGTACTACACACAGACACACATACACTGCACACACTACATACACTACACACAGACACTGCACACACTACATGCAGTACACACAGACACTGCATTTACTACACACACTAAATGCACTACACAACATCACCTACAAAGATACTGCACCCACTACACTGCATCAACACATACACTGCATCCACTACACACACACTGTATCCACTATACACACTGCATACAATACATTCACTATACACACTGCATACAATACATTCACTATACACACTGCATACAATAGACACACTGTATCTCCTAGTTGTGTGCGAGGTTTGGGCGGATGGGGAGTTGGGGGCAGCATTTCATCCTATGACCCAGGCAGCACAGGTTCTTGAGCCGGCC